CACTGTGTTCTATAGAAATGGAGCATGCTGTTCTTCACAAATATGGTTAAACAACTATTAGAATAGATATACGACAAACAGGCTAACAATAAAAACTGGGATGCATGCACAGCTCCTGCACGCACTGCTCCCGCCTTTCGGAGCTGCGGTGTGCCCAGCAGAGCAGAAGCGGCACAGGAGCCCTGCGGCACAGGAGTCTGCGGCACAGGAGCCCTGCCCAGGAAGCACCACTGCCACGCTCCCGGGCAGCACACACACTAGAAGGCAGTCCTGCCTGCCAAGAGACATTTTCAAAGTCTCACTTCCAGTTCACAGCCAATACCTTCGCAGAAGGTTAAGATTAAGAAAATAATAGTCATGTTAGGTCAATATTCTGGGCTTTGAGAATATTTCCCAAAGCTTGTTTTATTTTATTTTATGTTTTTTAGTTTTCAATTTTTCCCATAATTTTATTGAGAGGCAAATAGCAATGAGACAGTTTCAAATCAAATTGGTAGGACAGTTTCAATAATTAACACACTGCATACTCTCTTCCTAGTGGTTATTTGCTGTACAGGATGCAGACATAATATCCTATTTACAAACCCAAAGCTTGTTTTAAATGTAACTTGGAAGACAGAGTCAGAGTGGGGAATGCAATAGAATGGAATAGAACTTTAAGCAAACAGCTGAGATTTGGCTGCCAACTAGACGACCTCATTATATTTTTCAGTACTGTGCATTTATGCCTCCAACTGTGTTGGTGCTTTGCCTAGTGTATTCCTCATGAACATAATAAGCCTTTTGGTGAAAAGTGCCTGCTATTCTAACCATGACTGCAGAAACTCTTAAGCAACCATTGTCTTTAAAAATCAAAGCAAGTGTTGCTTTTACTGTAAGGGCACAAGATCATTTCTGCTACTTGTCCCTTCCTCTTTATTGCTACTGCACTAGTAGCCATTGCCCCACCTCAGGCTGGCGAAAAGAAGAGGCGCTACGTAACTTCCTCTCTAGGGTACCACTTCGTGGGAGGTAGTAGAGGTTCCACAGTGTCAGGGGCTCCGCCAGGCAGGAGAACACCCTTCTCAGAAATGCATCTTCCTGCAGGGCACCAATCAAAAGTCTTGATGATCTGGGCCCCCAGCTAGCTTGGCTTTAATGCTGAACCACTAAGTAGCGTAAAGAGATGGCAGAGGCAGAAGGAGATGTTTAATTTGCTTAAGAGAGAAATAAAAGGACGTAGTGGGCTAATCATACTTGAAGGCTTTACCAAATAGCACTCAAAACAGTGGCAAGTTAGAGTAACCTGGAAAATGGAAGCAAAGCAGAGTTTTTTAATTTAGTGGTGGGATTTGAGTAACCAAAGGGACACTATTTCTCTGTGTGGATTTCCATTTCTTCATCTCCAAGTTGACAATAGCAGTATTTGCCCATGTGAAAAATCAAGTCAATATGAAAATTTGTTGCTATAAAATAAAAACATGGTTATTGATGATTACAAAAATGTATTAAAGTTCACACACAGGTCTTATAGAGTTAGTTTGTGTGTTTTAAAAACAATGTTCAAAGAGCTGGCCAAAGAACTTAGAGGATTAAAGTGCCTGCAAACAAACACAGGGGCCGGGTTTGATCCCCAGGCCTGCTGTGCTGGCCCCACCCCTGGGGTGCGCTGAGACAGCAGTTGAGACTGGGCATGGTATTGCACGCGCCTGTAATCCCAGCTCTTGGGAGGCTGTAAACAGGCGGATCACTGTAAATCCAATCTAGTAGTGAGAACCTGAACACCCTGTAAACCCTTCCCTAAAAATACAAAAAGAAAAAACAACAACAACAAAACCAAAAACAGCAATGTCCAAACCAGTGTGGTGGTTGGCACAGTCCCTCAATCATAACATTCTGAGAGGCTTAGGCAGGATGATCAAATCAAATTCCATCCCATGCTGGGCAACTTAGAACTTGTCTTTAAAAAAAAGAAAGAGAGAGAGAAGAAAAAAAAAAACAAAAACAAAAACAGAAAAGGAGGGTATGTGGCTCATTGTGAAGTCCTGGGTCCCAAGTACCAACCATTGCCCTAGAAATTTCATCAATAATTCGCTAAACAATCCTTTTAGGTAGATGGTATCATTGCCCTTGCTTAATTGCAGCAGAGATTAAGTGCCTTATAGAAATAGGAGGTAAGAGCAGTGACTTGAATCTACCTCTGCCAGAATCTAGAGACTGGGTCTTACATGTACAGTCTCTTCTTAAATAGCTACAGCAGACATACCGGCTGGCTACTGTCCATCCATCCATCCATCTACTTACCAATCAGCCATCTGAACTGTGCATATCAGAAAGCTGTTAATGTCCTTTGGTGTTTTTATTGTCAGAAAAAACTACTATGATCTGATTTTTAAAATATTTTCTAATTTCTCTGAAGTTTGAGGCATTTGATTATTTTTAAATCTCAAAATATAATAAAATTTATAATTTACAACAAAAAGGGGGGTGGCTGCACGAGAGATCAAAAGCAGTGAGCCTGGCTTTTGGATGTATTTCTTCTCTTTTTCTTCCCTGATAATGTCAATCTGTGATCTTGCATTTCGTAGGTAATCCTAACACTGGTGACAATCCAGTGCCTGGTGTCCCCTGCCCTTGCCACTTTATGTGGACACACACAGGTTAGAGTGTTTGGGAAAGCCTATTATAGGAGTATTGTCGTTTTTTGAAGGGGCCAGTAGAATGGACTAGAACATTCAGAGTGATACTGAAGCATCACTGAACTAACACACAATTTTTAGAATTTTCTGATTAACAATGTTAATTACTTCACTGAATAACAGGTTCACACATAAAGAATAAAGTAACCAAAATACTTGATAAGCTGAAAATGCTTCACATCAGTATAATGTGTTATTCATATTTTTACATACTTAAAAATTAAATATTTAGCAATAACTTTTCTCTTTCTTCCGCTCCCTCCAACTGCCTCCCTGCCTTCCTTCCTCTCCCTTCTTACTGGAGAGTGTACCAGGGGGCCAGGCTCTTTCCTAGGCCTCATAGGCCACTTTTTTTTTTCTTTTGAGATGGAGTATTGCTAAATTGTTTAGGCTGGTCTTGAGCTTGTTATCTTCCTGTTTCAGCCTTCTAAGTAGCTATGATAACAGCTGTGTGCCATTACTCTCGATCCTAGGAATACATTTAACCAAAGAGGTTAAAGATTTCTGCAATTAAAAACTATAAACCACTGGTAACAGAAGTTGCAGAGAATATAAAGAAATTGGAGATATTCATGTCTGTGGATTCAAAGCTCAACACTGTGACAGTGCCCACCTATGCAATTAATACAATGCTATCAAAGTAACAACGACTTGCATCACAGAACTTTAAAAAAAAAATCATGTGGGACCACAAAAACAATCCCAGAATAACTAAAGCACTTGTGAGCAAAAGAGCACAGCAGAAGCCTTTACACTACTTGACTTTAAAGTATACTATCAAGCTACAGAAATTAAAACAGCATGGAATTGGCATTAAAAAAGAAATAGAGTGCCTAGAAGCAAACTCAAAGTTCTACAAACAACTGATCTTTGACAGAGGTGCCAAGAGTACATATTGAAAAAAAGGACAATATTTTTTGAATACTGTTGCTAGGAAAAGCATAATACACCTTTAGAAAAATGAAACGAGACCCCTTTCTCTCATCAGTTGAAAAAACTAACCCGGAATGGATTGAAGAAATAAATGTTAAGACCTAAAAATATGACAGCACTAGAAGAAAACTGGGGAAAATGCATTTGAATGGGCAGGGGTCAAGCTTGGCTAAAACCTCTCACAACAAATACGAGCAAAACAAACAAATGAGATTACATCAAACTCAAGAGCTTCTTCACAGAAAAAGGGATAAGTGATGTGAAGTAGAGACAGCATGTAGAATGGGAGGAAACGGCCGCAAACTACAGGCCTAACACGGGGTTGATATTGAGAATCTAGAAGATATTCACAAAATAATGAAAAAACAATCTAATTATAAAATGGAAAACAGACCGAAGTCGATCTTTCTCGAAGGAAAACATGAGCAGAGTACATGGACAAGTGCGCGGCAGCCCTGATCGTGAGGGGGCACGAGTCCGAACCAGACCGGGCTGTTACCGCTCCCCAGTTAGCACAGCCTTGATCAAAACTGCAGATGATACCTTGCTGATGAGGACATGGAGAAGCTCTGCACACTGTGGAGGATGATGTAGATTTGTATGACCACTGGAGAAAACTGTCTGAAAGTTCTGCAAAATGTGATGAATAGAACGACCATACGATCTGGTGATCTGACTTCTGGGTAGACATCCCAAGAAAAGAAAAGCAGTAGGTGGAGAGGATATGTGCCCTCACATGTCTACTGCAGCACTGTTCAGAACAGACAAGAAATGCAAACAACCAAGGGCTCACAAACTTAATAAAGGCAGTGCCTACACAAAACATAATATGAATCAGCTAGAAAATGCATGAAATCCTGCTGTTTGGTAAAAGGTGAAAGAATTATGATCTGAAGAGAAATGAGAGTATAATCCTACCATTTGGGACAATACACATAGAATGAAGACTGTTAAGTGAAATTCCAACCAGGCTACTTAGACAGGGAAATAGCGATGGTTCAATTAGAAAATGTTGGGAGGTCTGACCTGAGCTTTTATCTATTCACAAACCAGCTGGGTACCTTGGACAAGTTGATCAGCCTTTGTGGGACTTTCTTATCAGAAAAATGGAGTGTGCTGGGAAAGTCAAGAGCCTTCCCAGGAGGTGCTGGAACTTTCTGAGTTTGCCTGAAATACATGGTCAGATATGTTAGTCACTCAAGTGTCAAGGCAACCTTAAAGATATTCTGGATAGGAGTTTAAATCATCTGAAGATAAAACACAGGAATTCTAAGGAAAAGTCTTTGAGGAGAGGCCGAGCGGCCTCAGCAAGAAGAGAATACTGCCTAGTACTTACTGTCAGAGATCTGAAGAATATGAGACCTGCTTAACTGAAAATTGTTGAAGCATGGAAACAACCTCTCAGCCCTGTAAAGTAAACCACCACTGTGCCGGGGAGCAGAGTGAAAAGGAAGGAGCTGACACACGAGCCATTTGAAGGTCTCTGAGGCAGACACGCTAACCACCTGCAGAAGCGGAGCTAGATGCTCTTGCATGGAGTCACGAAACTCTCCCTGACATCCCGCAAAACATCTGTGTGTAGAGTGAGGCCCACCAGTGCACTCTGGAAAGGACTTTGGAGTCCGACTGGTTCACCCTCCAGAATGGCTCAAGGAAGATGCTAGACCTGATTTAAAGGAGGCAAAAGATAAAAACCAATGAAAGAAAAAGCAAAGTATCAAAGCTCTTGGGTTCTGTTTGATTTAGATAGTTGGCAGTTACAGTGTATGCAGTTTTCAGAAAGAGACATTCACCCATACAGTATAACAAAGATCAGCTCACCCAAAGAAAACTGGTCTATAATTCACAAAATGGATTAAGGTGGCTTTAGAATTACTATAATTTGAGTGGGTTGTCTCTTAAATTCACACAAAGAGTTATCCCGTACTAGGAAAATATTGGAAACAATTTTACTCACCTCTCTTCCCTGAGGATTTCCAAGAATTTGGAAGCAATGTGGAATAGAAAAATGCCATAGTGTTACAAAGCATTTTAAAAAGAAGTCATCATAATAGTTTTACATTTAGCACATAGAAGAATATTTATGTGTTAGGACTATTTCAGTAAAGTTAACTATATTTTTGTGGACTCTAAAACAAATAATATTTGCATTTTAATTGTACTGATACATTATCTTTTAGCAATCATTTGTATGATTGCACGGAGCATATTAAATAGTTTAATTTTTAATTTCTTTAAAATAATGGAAATATTAGATATATCTGCTTAGCTAAAATATATACTGCAATTGGATAATAAACCATTTTGTTAATTTAGAAAGCCTCATTACTCTTATGATAATGCCTTTAACAAAAGACAAAGACAAATATGTATATTTTATCATATAATCATTTTCATTGTAACATAGCAGTGGTACTGGCCTAGAGAAGATCCTCCTGGGAATTCATTTCAAATTATTGAAGCAGCTGTTTCTTCAGTTTAAAATAAAATATCCATAACAAGTTCACACATGACAGATGCAAGCTAAAAACTAGATTCCACAGTGTGAGCTAAAAGCAGATGTTTTGAGTGATCATATTTATAACCAGAGACAATAAATCTCAGTTACCTGTAGAAAGATTTCATGAGTACTCCTTTCCAAGAATTTGGCTGAAATATAGTTCCTGCCGTTCTCCGTACTTTGGAGAACTAAGCTTCATTATATTTAAATATCTGATAAATGCATGTGTATCTGGTCTTTTTTCTTCTCGTGGATTTCATGTGTGTCCTTAAGCACACAGGCCTTCTCAGGGCACCGCAGTTCGCTGCATTTGTATAATTTCACACCTTTCCCCTACCCAATTCAAAGTTGGGAAGTATTTTGTTTTCATAAATAAACTTGCAAGTATTAGAAGGAATGAAAATTTTAAGTTTTAGATCAAGTGATTTGCCTGATGAAAACATACTGCATGGGGAGGGTGGGGGAAGGGAAGGACAAAGGAAAACTGCGCAGATCCCTAGTCAATGTGTAAGTGAAATTTGCTAAGTGACAAGCAATGCCAGGATAGTGACAACTTAGTATGAGGGTGAGTTATCAGATATATACAATTATGCATGTTTTCTCTATTTGATCTGGAAGCCTATAAAAAATTTTTATTTTAGGATTAACTTACACTTCTAAACTTACAGGAATCACAGTGCAGGAGTACAAGTGAGCAATTTGGAAGCACAAAATGAGTCTGTGTTCCAACCTTGCTTTGTGTCTTGTATGAATTCTGGCGTTAATCCCATAATTTCTCCCATGACATGATTCTTATCATATATATGTAATAGCATGCTCTATAATCTATAGAGTCCACTCCCAGGAAATTCACATAAGGTTTCAGCATTCTGCATGTGAACAGCAGCTGCTTATTAAGCTTGTGCTCAGGTTACTTTTTCAATGTTGCTGCTACTATGAAAGAGCTTAAGGAGAGCTTTACACCATTGTTAAAACAAGTGATCACCTCTGCGTGATGCTCTTCATTCTGCTGTAGGACTTCTATGCAGAGCTCTGCTAGATGAAGAACCTCTTCCAGCTTCCTGGCAGGAGTTGCCAGGTTCATGGTCTCTATATTAAAAAAAAAATCATAATGTTACCTTGAAAATACAAAGCCAAACGTATTGTAAGCCGTAATGATAATACCGGGGTATTGAGACAGAATGAGAAAGCATGCTTTTGAGAAATAAGGGATGCAAAACCCCACAATTGAATATATTCTTTGTTAAAAACCCAGCTCACCACATTGCAGAAAATATTTCATGCACAAAGCAACTGCAGGGATCTGCAAGTCCTTTGCCATTTAGTACAGAAGAATGAACAGGTGCGGCAGCACATTAGATGCTCAACTTTTGCAACAAACAAGTTATGTTTCTCCTCAAGGTCAAACACACAAAGAAGGCAGATACCACAGTCTTTTCCTTCTCTCTGCATTGTATTATCAATACAATACCATTCTTACCAAATGAGTCATCCGTAGCATTCGCAAAAGCCAGGCTTTTTTGCTGCTATCTGAATTCCCAGCTTGAACATCTATAGTTCATGCTGATCTTAAATTCAAGAAGTACAAAGTCACCTAAAACAACTCTGACAGGCTGCAATTAACTGATTTCCTTCTCTGCTTCCCTGCCACCATCCCGTCCCACCCTGCCACTGTGGGGGGAGGTGGAGGGGGCACAGCAGAAGCATTCTTTGAAGCTGAAGGTTCCTTCAGAATTAAGCCAAATTGGTGTAAATAATAAGATTAGGTGCAGCACCTCAACAAATGAAGAACTTAGATTGGCTCTGTACAATGAAATTGTGTGCAGACTGAATATAAAGAGTTTTCATTTAGAACTTTAAAGCAAACCTTTGCTTTAGTTTATCTTGTGTTGCTTTAACAAAACACCTAACGAAAGGTACTTTGTAAAGTAAAAACTTTATTTGGCTCATAGTTTTGGAGGTTAAAATCCTCCAGTTGGGGGCTCCATCTTTTTGGTATCTGAGGATCTTCCTCATACGTCACAACATGGTGGAAAAGTAGGCAGGCAAACAGCTGAGTCAGTGGGGGACCAGGTGCATGGGACTGCTGTGCTTTGCAACAACCCCTTTCAGAGGACTAACTCCAAGAAGGAGGTCTGACAGGTCAGCATGAAGTCAGCCTAAGGGCAGAGCCTCCACCCTCCCATCACCTTCCCCCATGCCTCCAATTTGAAAGGTTCTACCACCTCAGTGCCAGCATTGGGAAAACCAAGATTCCAGCAAGTGAACCTCTGGGGAACCAAAGCCCAGTAACTCTATGTTAGATTCCTGGACTCTGTTTTGTTAAGGACACTATAGGCAATTTTTTTCTGCAACATTTCCATTCCCTCACCTTCTCCCTAATACCTTATTCGGGCTAGGGAGGTAGCTCAGTAGAATAAGTGCTTGTCTGGCAAGTGCAAGGTCCTGAGTTCAATCCCCAGTACTGCAAAAACTAAAAACAACAAAAAAATTTTTTGAAGATTCTTTCCTTTGTTTTAATTTATTTTCAAAGCATGTATAATAATCCAGTAAAATATTTCTTCTGTCAATGCTGATTCATTAAAATCGTTTCATGGCTCACTGTAGATCAGGGTGGGCCGAGCGTGGGGTTCATACCCCTGGACCGCCATGCCAACTAGACTCCTCAGTGACCCAGAGGGGCTCTGCTTGTGTATGACAAAGGCTCAAGAGAACTGTAATCCTCTAGGCATCATCCTGTCCAGCGTCACAGTCAAGTTTTCTTGCAATGCTCTTATCTGGAGGAAGTAGGAGGAGGAAGTATGAAAGAATCCGAAGTAACCAATGCTTAGGCTTTCTACAGCAGAGTCAGAGCGCTGCACTCAGATTGCTTAAGGAACATGATCAGATTTACACAGACCATAGACGCACACACGCGCTGTCCTTCTCTGAGAGCACCCCGAAGTCCAAGAAGAATGCATTCACATTAGGATTTCCACCCATATGAAAATCCTCTATCAGAAACTGCATGGCGTCTTCCTTACAGGACACTACACAGGGCCCATTTCAGTGTACCAGAAATTCTGGTTCTTTTGTTTTCCAAATAAATGTTATTTCCTTTACTGTCAGATCATTTTTAATGCTAACAGTAGTTTAAGACATGCTCCTGATTGCAAACAAATTCAAGACCCAAAAATCACAACAGAAAGGACTCTGAAGTATAATCTTTCAAATCCTTCATCTATTTCAAGAACATCTCAACTTTACCAAACAAGGATAAAGTCAAGGAGACTCTTGACATAGCAGAACAGCTTATTCCATTTGGGAGCAGCTCTAATTATTTAACCAGGAAACCAAAACCCTTAAGAAGTCAGAAGAGAAGAGAAATGGACACCAGTAGGGTAGGAGATGGGGAGAGAGACTGGTGAATGCAGTTGGGGCTTAGGGCAGTGCTGGGATGAATGAGCAAGAGCCCAGGGTTGGAGGAAGAAATGTAGGTAGAGAAGAGGACAGACGAGGTCCATTTTACAGGACAGCAGTGGTGATGATGATTTCACTTGCCATAGTTCCTTGAGAGGCATCTATGTATCAGGCACAATCAGAGACTTCTTATGTGTTATCATGCTAATTTTCTTAAAAGCTTGTTCTCTTTCTCTCTCTCTCTCTCTCTCTCTCTCTCTCTCTCTCTCTCTCTCTCTCTCTCCTGGGAATCAAACTCATGACCTTGAGTTTGCCAGGCAAGTGCTGTGTCACTTGAACTATTTCCCTAGCCCTTACCTTTAAATAATCTTTTCTTTTCAAAATTTGTATAACTGACAGATAAGGACACTTGCTCAATTAGGCAAAATACATCAATTACATGGCAATGAAGGTAAGACTTGCACTTCATGTGGACTCCTTCTATTTATGGCCTGCACTTACCTGACTAGAGTGAAGAAGGTAGGCTTCAGGCATGCCCGTAGACACCCTGGATGCGTCTGCCGATAGATAACTATGCTTCTCAGCAGGACCTCAGAATAAATTCACTTTTAGGGAATGTAGCTGGTGGCTGAGTACAACAAGCATTGGTGAGGTTTTGTGACACGGATACTGAGGGTTCCACTAAGTGAACGAGTGAACTACAGGAGGATGAGAGGGGGAAAGGAAAGGAAGGAGAGGGCACCATGAAGGAGGAGTGCATGTCATCCATGAACTAATGCTGCGAGTGACTGAACCAAACAACCTCTGAGGTTCGTGCCAGCTTAGGGAAGCCATGCTGCCTATACATTTTGGGTTGAGCTACTGAACTGTAGTGTGTGTGTGTGTGTGTGTGTGTGTGTGCGTGCGTGTGTGTACAATGTATTTAGAAGGCAAAGAAAAGGCAAAATGTTAAAATGTTATTTTTCAAATCACAGAGGAACTTACTTTTCCTGCAAACTTTTAGCACGTATTTTACTGAATCCTCACAACCAATCTCTAAGCTGGAGAAGCAGTGGCTGCCATTTCTAGTCCCAGTGATTGAATGAAGTGTGTAAGTTCATGCAGTGATTTGCTGGCTTGAGCCTGAAACCTCACTCTCAGTGACTGTACTTCTTTTCTGTCCAATGTACCAAAGTTCTCTTTCTAACTTTCTCTCTCTCTCACTCTCTCTCCCTCCCTCCCTCCCTCCCTCTCATACCTTAGCCACAAGTATGCAATAATGGAAAAAAAATCATAGAAACAACTTCAGAGCTTATTTTATGTGTAAATGTGTCAAAATCAGCATTTACTTTTGATATTATCGCAAATAAAAATAAAGTGTATCCTGTGTCCAGGGTGAAACTTAAATATAGTGTAAAACACTTCTTTCTTTCTAGATTAAATTTCCTGAGAGGATCAAAACTTTGTACTTGAACATAATGGCCACTCCAAGACTTTAAATAAATAGCATTTTCATCAAGTGCATGATGAACGCCATCCTTGGCTCTCACCCATTTGACTACAGACAAGAAGTTTAATGCACTCCGTAGTCAGGATTCTATCAGACAACAAGGTTATCAACAGCTCCATTAAAAACATGAACACTGAATATTTGAGAATTCCTCCTTCAGCCGTTTCCTTTAGCTCTTTTGGTAACATTTCCACAGCATTACAGACGGTCTCCATATTCTTCAACCTTACACCAAGTTGCCAAATGGAATACATTTCAAATAGCGATGCTGAAAACATCACGCCCAAAGCACCGAGGTTTCTTTTTTATTTATTTATTTTTATTTATTACATTTATTTATTGTGTGTGTGTGTGGCCAGCTCAGCCCACCAGGGGGCGGGTCTGGCTGGCATGTGGTGCTGGGGATCGAACCGCAGTCCCTCTGCTTTGCCAAGCTTGTTTCAAGTAGGTGCTTTAGACCACTGAGCCATCGCTCCAGCCCCCTAGCACCGAGGTTTCTTGATGAAATTGAATGCACCGCTTTTCACTATAATCCTTTCTTTGGGAACATTTCTAACTTTCTAAATAACACTCTTTGGATCCCTAAAGCTTCTCCTTCTTAATTATACCTCTGTCCATTTGAGAAGAGATCCTACTGGGAAGAGAGTAGGATGGTGGCAAACCGTGAGAAGACAGGCTGCTTTGATTCCGCAGACTTTACTTCTGTTTGGTGGTGAAAGAAAGGGTGCGGCTCCTAGCACATGCTGGTCGGCTGTCTCTCTGGCTGCCAGCCCCTGGCAAGGTCCCGAGGGACAGGTGCACAGGGAGGCTCATGGTCAAGGCTGTGACTGTTCATGTGAAGAATACCAGCAAGAGCACTTTGGCTCCTTTTGCTTCACATATGGTCTGTCGACATTTGTTGATATTTTTGACTGGAGCTTCAAAAATTTTTAAGAAATAACGATTCAACACACTCAAAGCATATACAGTGGTTCACATGTGTGGCCAACGTTTTGCCCTGTGGGGCTGCACTGTGATGATGAATTTTCTTGAGCCATATAAAAGTATATATAATATAGCTGATGTTTTAGCAAAGTTTTTAAAATGTGAAACTTCCTTTCTGTGTATGTATTAACATTTAAAGAAGGGCAAGTAGCCCAATGGCTGCAGATAAGAAGCCTGGATAATTGTTACAAATTAACTTTGATTAGAGAGATGATTT